TTCCTCCCCCCGCCCTCCTCCCCCCGGTTCCCCCTATCGACTACCGGACCTCGGTTTTTCTTTCCAAAGTTACTTTGGGGCGAGGGGAGCCTCCAGGTCCCTTTTCCGGGGAGAAACGTCGGCTAGCGATGGTTTCCAGCACGGAGGTCGTCCGGTTCCCCAGGACCACCGAAAGGCTCCGGGAACTGGGGGGGAGGAGGGGAGGAGGAGGTTTACCTGTCAGCAGAGTCCCTCCCGAGCCCACGTCCCGGTCCATGCAGCCCTCATCGGTCCGCGGCCCCTTCCCCGTCTCCGCTCGGTCCAACTTAAAGTTCAGGGACGGAGGGGAAGGTGGAGGGGAGAGGAGGGAGGGTGGGGGGCGTCCCAGAGATGGGGGAGGAGGGCCGGTGGGGGGAGAGGCTTAAAGGAGAGCAGCTCTCCTCCCACCGGGGTTCCTGTTCCGAGAAGAAAAACCCGTTTTCCACCGGACGAGGATAAAGTCTTCCACCCAGCTCCAGAGAACCCTTTTCGAACAATTTATTATGGTTTATGTATTCATTGTGTTATGTATTCATTGTGTTGTGTTGTATTTACACATCTTATATTGTTTTGTTGTTCGAATAAACTGAACTGAACTGAACCCCCGGAGCAGGTCTGTTTGGCCCCGGGTTTTGAACCCTAAACCTGGACAGGGGAGTTTTACGTCGTCCCTCTGAAGGCAGCCGGGTTGGTTTGTTAAACAGAAGTCCAGATGTTTCTAGAACAACTGGCTGGGATCAAATCCACTTCAGGGGCTGTAAGGCAGCTTCTAGATGGTTCCATTCAACACACCTGACTCACAAAAATGCTTTATTCATGCCCAGTGGGGGAAGTTAACATAGTCAACTAGTTAATTTGAAATATTTCCAATTGTTAGATATGATAACAAACAGATACATCGGTAATAACCCTGATAATAACCAGAGAACTGTTAGATGTCAGTGATTAAAAAAAAATGGCTGCTGGAAAAAGACCCTCCAACTACACAATCGACTAAATTCCTAAGACGTCAAATTCTTATATACAGAGTCTGTTTAAGAAAAAAACAACAACTGCATAGCAGAGGAAATCAGGGGATTGTCACTTTGACCCGGTCTCCATCCTGAGTGTGCTTGAGGCAACTTTGAAAGGAAAACAACTCCCCTTTAACAGGAAGAAACCAGATTAAGAGCCCAGAAATACCTGCCCCGAAAGGTAAACACACGTTAAAGAACAGAAATGTCATTGTGCACAGCAGAATAAAGACAGTATGGTAAGAAGAAGAGCATCCTGGGATGTCCCCCAGCAGGGTAATGTCTGGATTTTCAGGGTCCTCTGAGCATCCTTTGATTCACAATAAAACAGGTTTCTGCAAACACGTGTGTAAGGAAAAAAGAACGTCCCAACTCATGGTGATGCAGAAAATTTGTTCCAAGTATTTATGTCCAAATTAGGCAAGGCAAATTTTATTTGTGTAGCACGTTTCACGTACAAGACAATTCAAAGGGCTTCACAAAGAATCTAAAAGCAGAAAAATAATGAAAATTAGACAAATAAAAAGTGAAAGGTGCAGATAAAATGCAAATAAAATAAAATTAGACCGCTGCAATCTTTTGTTATAACCAAATATTATTCTAAACACACTCTGAAAAGCTATCAATACGAGTTCTAATGAGAACGAGCAGCAAACGTTGTATTTCCATCCCGTGTGGTGGTTACATCTATTCCACTGAAATCTCTCTGAAATCATCCCGTTGTTCTGTCGGGCAGAGCTGGCCGCAGTGGGAGGATCCTGTTAGCACAAATTGATCTTCTCCCTCTAACTAATTAAATGTTTACTGTCCTGCAACCGCAGGCAGAGGATGAGGAGGAGGAGGAGGAAGAGGAGGAGGAAGAGGAGGAGGAGGAGTGGCAGCCATCTTCATATTAGAATCACAAATCTGACCTAATCCGTAGAGTAGTTAGAAACCTTCTGAATGTGACAGTGAGAAATAGCTCGTCTGTTATTTGTTGTCTGTCATCGTTGGTTTTTGTTCTGTGTTTCTGTCTGAATGAATTATTATAATTATCTTTGTTAGTGCTGAGTACTCAGAATCATTGTAGTGGACGACTGTAACATTTACAGATGTTGAAAATGACCTACTCTCTCTGTGAATCACCCCCTGGATCCACCATGTCTAATTGGCATTGACAGTGAACAATTAGCAGCATTTCCTCTGCAATTTTAATCCGACCATCCTTTGACAACATTTGAGTTTACAGTGTTTGACTGCACACCATCTGAGAAGAACCGTATTTACAGCAGTAATGCAGTAACTTGATTTAAAGAATCAGTTCTGTTATTAAAAGGTAAGACAACAAAAAAGCTGGAAAGAATATGGCGCTCAATCAATATGTTAGTCTGGAGAGAAAATCTACTAACATAGAAGAAACCCTGGGAAGCTAGAACTGCCTGTTCTTAATCACTAATAGAAGAATATAGGAACAATCCTAGCTTTACTTTAGTATTCCCCCATCATCACTGAGCTCTCACTGAGTACATTTGCTTTAGAAGTATCTTTAGAACCTGATTTGTGTTCATAGTGTCTTTTATTCTTGATGTTCTTGAGAAAATTGTAGCAGCTCAGCTTTCTGATCATTCTTAAAGAGTTTCAGTCCGAATTCAGAGCGCATCCAAACAGAGAACCAGCTCTGATCTGATGAGAGTCACTGACCTCCTCTCTCCCGCTGACCGCAGACCTGAGCTGAGCTCCTCCTGCTGGATCTCAGTGAAGCATCTTCTACCTCTGATCAGCTTCACCATAAAGCCCCAGGACCAGATGGTTTCCCTGCAGAGTTCTAAGAGAACTTTGGTGGCCTATATTTCATAAAATGGTACAAAATGTTGAGGGGAACAGGAGTTTATCCTCAGGCATGAACTCTGACCCAAACAGAGCTGAGTAACTGATCCTTCACTCCTGCAAAAGTTCTCAACACATTTATGCAAAAGGTCCAATGTTGTTTGCACAAAAAAATCCAAATAAGACAGCTTTATTTAAGAAAATCATACATTTTATTTGAGTGACAGGACCCCAACACTTGAACACAGTTGAAATGTTTCTGTGTTTTCAAGAACTTAAGACCACAAATGAATTCAACATAAGGCAAAGATGCATGTCAAATAGGTTTGATGAGTACAATCACTAAAGCTGTATGTTTGAAATATTAACACACACAGCACAAAACATGAATTTACTTTGGATGAACAATCACCTAAATGCTTCACACTGTTTGTCTCTTAGGGTCAAACTAGGATCCACTTCTGTGAGTCTGCTTTTAGGAACACTCGGGAAATCTCCTTAATCAATCAATACTGAGAGAAAAATCAGAGGGCTTCAGGGTCTCTGTGAGGGGTTAGCAGGAAGACA